TAAAAATTAACACTCGTTTTGACGCACTCCGTTCTGTTGTGTGTGTGTCTGCTGTTGAAAACAATTATCACCCGTTTTTAAATTCTAGACTGCGATACAAGCCTTCATTCATAGAATATCTCAGCTTCAGAAGTTCGGAGATTTAAATTGAACGCAACTCCGGCAAACCATGACTTTACGATAGCTCACATAAGGATGGCAAACATCGAGCTTTCACTGGCCTTTGGCTGAATGTTTGTAAGCAATGTACCAACCAGAAACAAAACCGGTCTCCGTCTACCTAGAGTAAATGGCGCCACAAAACGAAGTTAAAGTTTAATCCAACAAATGCAGCTAAAGTTTTGCGACTTATTGATTCTTGATTGTGTGGTTAGTAAATTCCATAGCCATACTGTCCATAGACCACACTAAACTATGTGCTGATGGAGCATTTTTGCGAAATTGACTCCTTTTTTCCATCCCAAACAAAATATTATTAATAAATCAACATGGTCCATCTCAGTCATCATAGCGAGTCACAAAATGAGGAAGTTTGTTTTCAACAGCAGTCACACACAACAGAACGGAGTGCGTCAAAATCTAAAAAATACGTAGTGGCATATTGTAATACACATTCCCTTGTTGTACATTATGACATGTTTCATTAACATAACGTACATTGAGGATCGCCAACAAATTGGGTGGGTACAGTATTCAAAATTTTACGATATGGTGAACTATTTAGATTAAAATGTTGAAAGTGATTATATAAGAATTAGATGAGTCACTGTCAATAAAACAATTCACAGAAGAGGAGTATTCAAAATATCGGTACTATTATTATGGGACTAATCAGATGACTGACGCCGTTCTCCATCGACAATTGATTTTATGTGCATTATTTATCTACAATTCTTATCTACAGTTAATACACTAAAGAATATTTACACTCACAATTTAAAAAAAAAAAGTTACCAACAACGACATCTAAATAGCTGTGGGAAAAACAAATTATCAACCTGCTGCTCTCTGAATAGTGATCGTAACTGAACAATAATGATGCTGCAACACGCTTGGTCAACTTGTAAAAAATTCAGAGCCTTCTGTTGTTTGCCCATAAACAATTTTTTTGGAGTGTTATACAGTACGATTTCAAAACATTGTCATCGTAGGACCTAATGAAACAGCTATAATTTTGAAAACAAACAACTTGAAACAAAATCGGTGTACGGATTCAAATAAATATTTACAATAGATTTTAATGGTCAACTTGTTATCAAATTTTACGACCAATTTTTACATACGTTAATTTGTGAGTGACGGTGTGTGATAGACACAGCGGTCTATAGCTGTATAATATCTTTGAATATCATTTTAGACCGATTCATTTATATGCTTGGTCATTTTGTAATCATTTAGAATTCAACAGTTTTTAGTAATAGGGTTCGTATCTCTACACTTCTAGATGTAGTATCAAATTTTAGTTGCCATAGACCCGGTTTCATACACACTCGCTTAAGTAGATTTAAAAGGAAGCTGTTTTCCCCATTTTTCCTATTGTTAAATACTCCTATGCAATACTGTAGGCCCCTGGTATAAAATTGACAGATCAATTCGACACTCTGTAAAGATTGATTATGCCTTTTTATATAATATTGTAGGCAATAGGCCTAATGTGTGTGAAGTACTGACTTTGTTAATATCGAATGGGTGAAATTGCGCACAAACTTCAAATTCTTGTCCTAACATACAATGCGGCCAGAGGAAAGGATATCACGTTTTAGTCACCAAAAAGGATTTTCCACGGACGCACAGAGTAGGCCTATGGCCCAAAGCGAACGAGTTTCTGGTCTAGAAAACCCAGACACTTCGTTAAGGCCTATACAGTACAAAATACTGTACAGTTTATAATTCATTGAAAAAGATTTAAAATGAAGGACTTTTAAATGAAGAATATTTTGAGAATCTTGGGTTTTTAAAAGCAATATTGGGAATTTTTAGACCCACTCTTGGGAATTTTGATTTTCCCTAGTGGTCACGCTGCATTTAGAGACAGAATTGTACCCCGACGACATCAAACTAATGTAGGCCTAGGCTTTCCTCTGCTTATGTATTGAGCACTGTTGTCTAGATGATCTGCTTTCAACCTAATCTGCAAATCCTCATCATCATCATATGGTTTCAGTCCTTTTCCATTTTGGATATGGTTTTGGACTATTCTTCATTTGATGGCAGATCTCAAAGCTCTTCTTGCGTTTTTCCCCCCCGGTCGCTTTGAATGAGTTCCTCCCATGTTTTCCGGGGTCTGCCTCGACTTCTGCTGCCTTCGACCAGTACAGCATTGTGCTTCTGATAGTTTGGGAATTTTTTTTTTTTTTTTTATTTAAATGTTTATTCTCACTTAATTTTGTAAAATTGTAGCCAATGGGGACTTGGATTGTCTTAACATAAGAGGTAATCATTGTCATCACTAGCCTATAAATGGAGGTATACAGTAGGTAGGTAGTGGTTAAATCAATTTACTATATAATCTTTGTAATTTTCAGTTTCAGAAAACCAGGAAATGTCAGAGAAAGATACCAACCCATTTGCAGCATTGATGCAGCAAGAAGGGCCTTCTGAAAAGGAACCAAGTCTTGATCAAGAATTAAGTGACATGGATTCAGAGACTGATTCAGGAGATGAAGAAATCCTTAATCTTATCTACGAATCAAACCTCATCAACAAAGTTTTTCTAATTACAATTAATGATGGTAACTCAATCTAATAATAATCTCAACTAATTCTCCAAAACTTAATTGTTGAATTTTATGATAAAAATACAGCAAACAAATGTTTACCTTTGTAAAACCATTTAAATTTAAGAATAGATTCTTTGCCACTGTGCATTTTAATTTTATTTTTTTCATCATAAATTACCTTTATTTTGTTTTTTAATGTGAGATGTGTATAAGAGACAGTATATATATAGACCTACTGTAGTACAAAATAGTGGCAGAGAGGGAGGAAAATCAGACACAACATTAAAAATATTTATTTTACAAATCTGTCCCTGTCTTCAATCTGCCAATTACCATGTGATACGAGTCCGCGGTGGCCTACAAATGAAGAAGGGAATTCCCCGGGTATGGAATGAGCAGCCGGATTATAAGACATTGAATTTCATTATTCTTCCGGGTGGACAAAAAACGTAAGTACTTAGGCCTACTTCACATATATTTACTAAGTGTTATAGTTAACCTTCCTTGTCATATTGATCGAGTATCATTTCATCATAGAGAAAAGTTTTTAATTTTATCTAGGCCTTCGACAGCCTCAATTATTTTTTTTACCTTAACTCCAATTACATACACAAGGGAGGCCGCCCTCAACCATTGGTTTGGCACACGACGACACGCATTTTACCCTTCGATTCTCATATGGTCAGACGCATAGAGCTAGGGCCAGGCCTAGCAAGATATATGTTGGTTCTGGTGAAGCTCATCGTTTACTACTAATGTTAATGATTATTCGTTTTTATTTGCCCGGTAGAGTACGTCATGGATAGCATTCGTTTGTATGGTAACTGTTTGAATACGGATAGTATTGAATAGATTGAAGGTTAGCTTCATTAGAAGCTAACATTCAATCATCATTCAGAATTTATAATTGGGCCTACTAGAGGCTAGGGCCAGGCCTAGCTAGGCCTAGCTACTGTAATCCACTACTAGCCTTGGAGGCCTACACTAGCTTGGCCTAGGGCCCCTTACTTAGAGGAGGTAGGCCTAGCCTAGTAGTAGTAGGCCTAACTAGGCCTAGGGGCCTATTTATATATTACAAACATTAAACGTACAATGTAGAAATTAATGGCAAAACAAAAACATAAGTAAATTACTGTAATAGCTACATTAATCATTACTATACTACTAGTTAGGCCTACTAGGGTTAGACCTAGGCCTACAGTAGTCCAGGGTGGGGGGACCGGGACTACAATTGACAAGTGTATAATTCAGCACATATATTTGGCCCAAAAATATTTTTTTTAATAAGAAAAAGTTTCATCATCATCATACATTTTGAGTTTATGTCCATTTTGATCATGATGGATTGGACTTTTCTTCATTTGATGACAGATATCTCCAAGCTCCTATATGTCCTGAGCCATTCCCAACTGTAGATAACTTCCTCCCATGTTTTCCGGGGTCTGCCTCTACTTCTGCTGCCTTCGACCAGGTCTCACTACTGTACAGCATTGTGCTTCTGATAGTTTGGGAATTTCTTTTTTTTTTTTATTTAAATGTTTATTCTCACTTAATTTTGTAAAATTGTAGCCAATGGGGACTTGGATTGTCTTAACATAAGAGGTAATCATTGTCATCACTAGCCTATAAATGGAGGTATACAGTAGGTAGGTAGTGGTTAAATCAGTTTACTATATAATCTTTGTAATTTTCAGTTTCAGAAAACCAGGAAATGTCAGAGAAAGATACCAACCCATTTGCAGCATTGATGCAGCAAGAAGGGCCTTCTGAAAAGGAACCAAGTCTTGATCAAGAATTAAGTGACATGGATTCAGAGACTGATTCAGGAGATGAAGAAATCCTTAATCTTATCTACGAATCAAACCTCATCAACAAAGTTTTTCTAATTACAATTAATGATGGTAACTCAATCTAATAATAATCTCAACTAATTCTCCAAAACGTAATTGTTGAATTTTATGATAAAAATACAGCAAACAAATGTTTACCTTTGTAAAACCATTTAAATTTAAGAATAGACTCTTTGCCACTGTGCATTTTAATTTTATTTTTTTCATCATAAAATACTTTTTAGTTTATTTTGTTTTTTAATGCGTTATATAAATGACGATGCGGCGATGATTACGATTGATAATTATGATGATTGTTGATTGACGACTATCGATGGTGATAATGATGATTTTAATGAAGATGATGATGGTTAATGATAATGATTAATGATTGATGATGATGGTTGAGGATAATAATGACGATGAAGAAGATTGGTGATTATGATGATGATAATGATGATTGATAATAATTATTGATGATGATGATGATTACATTTATTTTTAATATTGTTATTCATTATTAAAATTATTATCTATATAATTATTATTAAGTGCAATATTTGAACTTTCATCTCACATTGTCTAGCTCCAGTGTCTCCGAGTGAAGGTATTCCAACCCATTGTGTTTTTCTTTTCGACATTGCTGAGCAGATCAAAGAGGTGTTTGGTCAAGATTGGACCATAATTGAATTATCATCAGCACAACAGGCAAGTTGATACATCAGAGTGAATGTTTTAATTTCACACTTGAAGCTCCCTTTCTCAGGAAAGAACTGTCAGCGGCGGATTCAGGGTGGGGTCTCAATCGCCCCGGGCCCATATAAATTTTTAAAAACTTAAAGAAAAATGGAGAAAAAAAAGACAATTATATTCCAATTTTAAGTCTGAAAGTGCTATTATTATTGGTCATCCAGATGTGCCATAATCATTCTTACCTCGGTCCCAACCACATTGGTGCTCAGGTGTTATAGACCATCCATCAAGGTCCCTCCCTGCCCCACCTCCCAGATTTTTAATCAGAATATGTGAATTTTATTATTAAATTGTTAATATTATTTGAATTAATATGTTTAAATTTATTTTATTTTTTATTTTATTGATTTTGCAAGTCACAGCCAGAAGATAAATTAAACAAACATCATATTAGTGTTTTTCTTTTGTATGTTATCAATAATAATGTCAATGGTATGATTTTGACGTAGGCTTTATTCACGTCATCATGTTTTAAGTGACAAATACCTGTGAATTTTGTCCATAATAAGGGTGTAATGACATCATCAGTCCCATATGGACAAATCACACATATTTCTGACTTGACGTGGTAAATATTTCAATATGTCAATAACTTATGATATCAAAAAATGTGTATTTTTCCTTAGGCTATCTGTTTACACTGTCAAGTTTTATGTGACAAATACCTGTATTTTTTTTTATCAATATATAGGTGTGTGATATGACATCATCAATCCCATATATGGGCAAATCACACTAATTTCTGACATAAAACATGTTGTAACATAAAATATGTCAGTGATACTCATGATATGATTTGTGTATTCTTTCTTAGGCTCTGTCCACACTATCAAGTCTTTTGTGACAGATACCTGTGGTTTTTCCATATATGGGTGTGGTTTTTCCATATATGGATGTGGTTTTTCCATATATGGATGTGATATGACATTAACAAGCTTATATAATGAAAATTTCACTTCATTTGTCAAAAATAAAAGTTGGTTTTTGTGGCTGCTGCTATATTTATTTCAAAACATCATCACATGATATTCACATGTTAATTGTAGGATATGTACTTAATGAAAACATCATCACATGATATTCACGTGTTAATTGTAGGATATGTACAGTACTTAATGAAAGCATCTTCACATGATATTCACATGTTAACTGTAGCATAACGTAAAATTTAGGGACCTTATATATAGTGGATTATGTCAGAAATGCTTATGTAAATCATACAATATATGAATATAAATAACTATTCGTATAGCACAGTATTTAAAAAATTATTTTCTCACTGGTGCTATAGTATGTTATTTAGACAACTTTGTAGGCTATCTGGCAAAAAATAAAGATCAATTCACTCATTTTTTTTTAATTTGTAAATAAAAAAACTTTTTTTAAGTTTTTTGTTTTACTGCCCCTATATTTCAGTGAATTAGGGGCTGGTGAGGTGGGCAAACAAACAATTTTTTTTAGTCCTTATCAAATTGTCCTTGACAAAAACTTTTGTATGCAAATATATTTATAGTCACGGTAATCGTATGCATATATATGGTTATAAAGTGATGTCATCATGGTCATGTTTTCACATATATTTGTCAAATAAAATTTGATAATTCTCCTAATTATGTGATGTACTGGTATGAGGAGAGGTAACTAACACTCTCAAGTATGTGTTATCATGTTAATTTAGGCTGTGTTTGAAAGGCTTATGTGTCCCATTCCATCTGATTTGGTGATTAATACTTCAACTACAAATCCAGATCATGTATCTGAGAAGGCAGAAGCCGGCGAGGAATTAGCGTTAAAGTACCTGTTCGAGTGTTACAAACGCCTATTGAACCTAAAGGAAAGTGGTCTTAAAGAGGTTGGTAACACTCATGTTTCTTGTATTTATATATCATAAAACCTCAAATAGAAGCCCAATGGGCTTAAACTCGAGAAGGAGCCCCCCTCTTTAGTTTACAAAAGTAGCCTTAAAAAAAGGCCCATCTCAAAAATAAGCCCATGGGTGAGACCTGTAAAACAAGAGTAGTAAAGTAATAGTCTTTATTTTTTACCTTATTTTACTACATAATATTGCACTGTATTGTATTGTTTTGTATTTTACTGTATATTGTACAGTATTTGGTTCACACTGTATTGTACTGTATTATGTTGTAATGTTTTGTATTCTGTAATCAAAATTAAGTTAATCAAATCATATTTAAATTTCTATCAATAAAATGTTGTAATTTGATTTGGTAATAATTGTCATTTTATATATTTAAAGGAGCTGTTCAACAAATGTGAAAGCATCATCGCCTCTATTGGTGCTACCTGTCTTCTAACACCTGCTGTCATCAACAATCAAAATGTACATCAACAAGTCTTTGACATATTCATGAGGGAGTTCAAAAATGACAGTACGTTTCTTCTTCATATTACATGGAGGCCTGGAAAAATAATTGTGCCTCCAACTGTAAAAATTTCTATTGATTAAATGTCACCAGCAGAAAATGTTACCTGTACAATATAGCCCAATATTCGTGGTCTGAAGCAAAAAAAATGCCAAAATTTTGGTTCAAAAATACCTTTAAAGACAGCACAATGTTTCAAACCACCGATCGGTCACACACTTTTTTAGTCCTGATTTGACACAAAGAACCGAAGGCTATTTCCCATAAATGCAACTTGTGCTTATTGGCCGCTTAAAAATACTAGTTTCTGCATTAATTTTCAATAATTTATATTATATTTCAATAAATTGAAATGAAAATTTATCTATTTGCCTATTTTTTTTAAACATTTATTAGTTTAATTTGTCATTGTATCAGATTCTGGGTCCTAAAAATGTAAACAATCCCACTCCTTGTGAAAGAGACCACCAACTATGAGTAGGACAGCAATTAAGTTGCCTATTGTCAACCATTGGCCTCTATGAGTAGTAATGCTATAAATAAAGTATTTAAAATTTGTGGTAACAAATTAGAACTTTAATCAATGTGACCGGCTCTGGCAAAACCCTCTGTCGCAATTTATAATTTCGCACAAGCGCAAAAAACGTTCGAGAATCAGAATTTTTAACATTTTCAGATTTTTCTATTTTATAAATCAAGATATATGGAAGAACATTTCTGCAAAATATCAATCACTAAATCTTACTAAAAAGTATATTGAAATTATTTTTAAAATACAAATCTTGATAATAAACTATTGATTTTGGAATCTTCGGAAGCTGTTTTTTCAAAACGTACATGGTTGATATCCAGTGAATTCGATATTCATAACTTTGTTAATACTAAACACTCCATCGATTTCCATCAAGGAAAGAAACACTGTTTTAAAGAAGAATCTATGCAGAATCCAACAATACCAAAAACTAAAAATAGCTAGTTCTGCCAGAGCCGGTCACAAATGTAAAAAACACAGTTTCAAGAAGTATAAAAAGGTATGAAAATTATAATACACAGCTTCAAGAATATGTACTAATCTTCTACAATAATCTTTCAATATTTTCAGATTTTAGTGCAAGTGCCCAGTTTTTTAAACTTGTTGCAGAACAAGTAAATAGTGATGGAATGTCTTGTACAGATGCCTTCGGCCCTGTTTTAACAATTCTCCAAGAAGAGATGAAGAAAGAACCCGGGCTTATAAACTCCCTCAACTATGGCTACTGCGGTATCATTTGGTTTTTTAGCAACCCAGAATATTTGGCAGAGGTATTTTATTGTAATTATTATCTTAAGATACTTTATTCAATTGTCATCTACTCTAACCATATGGAAAATAAACTCTTTAATTTAATGAAATTAAGAATGTACGATCATTAAATGATGTTTGTACTTAAATTTAAAAATCGAGGAAAAAATATCATAAACATGTGATATTAATGAAAAACACTAATTTCTACATGAAAAGCATCTGAGGAATTTTATTTTATTTTACTGTCTTTATTATATATTTTAATAATTTTTTTTGTATTAACTTTATGTGTGATGCTTTTTTACACTACTTTACTTTATACCAATATTTACTTTTTTACTTCCTTAAATTATAATATTTTGTATTTTATTTAATAATTTGATTCTATATGTACCTAATAGTACCTATTTAACTATTATAGATTTTTTCTTCTTACTAACATACACTTTATATTTCAGTGGCAGATCCAATGGTGGGGGTGGGGAGCCATCTGACCTCTCCCCCCTCCAAGTTTTATCAAATTATAAAAAAATAGAGAAAATAGAAAATTGTATTTAAATTTAAGTCCAAACGTGCTCGAACCCTCCCCCTGTAAAAGTCACCCTCTGGGCCCCCTCTATTTCAAATTCCTGGGAGTACCACTGTGTTTAAGTACTTACAAGACAAATGAAAAGTAATTCAATTGTTTGGTTGCAGGTTCTTCTAAATCACATGACTCCGGCAGATCTAAATAGTGGGAAAGCCTACGAGGAATCCAGTTTAGGAAAACTTCTCTGCCTCACATGTCTATACAATAGGAATGATGGTGGTGATAGTTATAGATTCTTCGAAAAGCCCTCAAGATACTCACAGCAACAACTCAGCAGTACGCAGTCCCAAATATGGCAGGTAATAATCATGATATGAATTTATATAGCGCCCTTTAGTTGGTGAACTAGTCTCAGGTATTTTGATGATAACCGTTTTATCCCTTGCACTAGCTGATTTTCCTGTACTGGTCCTAGCAGCCTGTTAAGGGTTTTCTTTCCATTTTGATTCTCTTCTCATGCTCTTTTAAACTCTACTGTGAACTTCAGAAAAAAGATATATATCGCATGTACACCATGTAGGATAGGCCCAGCGCCATGCCATGGTACACCGTCAGAAGCCAATATGGATTATAAACTGACTTCAATTTAATTATTTTTTTTACAATTATTTGTGTTTTCTGCAGCTTACATCTCTACTTAATGCTAAGGTCCACGAGATCTTTATCAGTATTTGTAAATCATCTGTGGAAAACAAACATAGGCTGCTCGAATGGCTTGGGAACTGTATGAAAGCTAATGCAGGTGAGTTTTCCTATATGGAGATATGCTTAATTATGGTGTAGTCACATGGTTATCCATCTTACAAGCAGTGGTGTACCTAAGAGTTTTGAAATGGGGAGGGCTAATGAGGAGGTGGGGTGGGGGCTTGATGATTAAATGAATTTGAACCAGCTTAAAAATAAGGTGATATGAGGTGATTTTTTACTACTAGAGTGTGGGAGCATACTTGGGGGGAGGGGTGTCCACTGCGCACCCCCTAGATATGCCACTACTTAAAGTATGTCTGCTTTCCTGGTCAGTTATAAACTTAAGGATTTAAATTACACAGCATAAGTGATAGATTGTCTTCCCCAATGCTCTTTTTCATGGTTGGGTAAAATTTGTGTTTTTATTCTTCTGTCATTCTTGTAATGGGAGAGCGTGCAGTGTGTAAGGTGTTGGACTTCTGATCGTGAGATTGGGAGCTCGAGACCTATGCTCATCGCATTGCTTGTGTCCTTGGGCCAGACACTTACGTTTGTCTCTCTTCACCCAGGAGTATAAATGGGAGGGGCGGGGGTCATGCTGTTAACCTGCTTGTCAATGTATAACAGTAACTAGAATTGATTATTCGCTAAAAGGAAGCTACATTAAAAACAACTCTGCAGCTCCTGTGATTCATACGAATGACCGATTCTTGTAATGGACTTTTCTGTCAAGTACTGCGACTTGGATTTTGTTTCCAAAGGAGTTGGACTACTTTAAACAGCATAGTTGTACGTCAAGTTGTGTGTTTGTGAGACCTGTGCAGATTCCTGGCTAATAAAAAGAACATGATTGTCAGTTGCTGACTTTGATAGACGCTTCACTAAGATCCATTTTCTTCAGCCGTTCGCTTAAATTCTTTGATTCTCATAGATATAGCCTTTTATATTTATATCACTAAATGGTTTTTTCTTTTTCAAACTGCAGGTCGAGGCAAAATTTGGTCACTTCAGAACCAGAATGCATCGGATGGATTCTTCATGAATATTGGCGCTGTGCTGCTTCACATGTGTCATAAGTTTGCCACACCAAACTCGCCCCGAATGCTCTCAATCGACTTCAGATACTGCAAAGTCGATGTGAAAACTAGCGATGATATGAGAGCCAAAGGTGTACACTTAAAAGGTTAGCAACACTGATACATAGAGATGTACAGTCTGTTTTGAGCAAATAAATTATAAATTCAAGGGATTAAAACTAAATGGTCTAAGCCCAAAACAAATTTTTCAAAATATTTTTTGTTTTTAAACTATGATTACATTTTTTAAGCCATAAAACATAAATACTCAACTAATATTTTAGCATATTATTCAACAGGCACTTAATCTACATTACTTGTATCCACTCACTAGTATCAGTGGGTACCTGTTAGTGTTTGAATGCCAAATGTGCTTATTAGCTGCTGCAACATTAAGAAATACTCCCCAAGGAACTGAGTGTGTTTTATAGGTGTTTAATCCAATGACCAGGGTTAATAAGCATGTAGGGTGCTTATCATTATGCACTATATAATTCTACTATTCTATTATCAATAGTATTATCTTATCAGTAAGGTATATATTTTCAACAATTTTTACAATTCTGTCTCCATTCCTTTGTAGAATTACCAAAATCAGATTTTCTCCGGAAGCTTGATGAAGGAGAATCAATTGCCGAAAGCCCAGATACATTCAACTTTCCGACCGACCTTTTCTTTCTGACTCATCGTTGCTTACAGCTAGGTTTCAATGTGCTACACAGTCGCTTTATGAAAGTCAACAGAGAATTGCACCAATATCAGCAGGCTTTCCAGGAACATCAGCAGCTTCTTAACACGGCAAGAGCCACTGGTGTCTTAGAAGAGATACAAGAAAAAATGGAGAAAGGTACACCAACTAAACATAGAGCTTGTTTCTACTGGGAAAGTTTTCCCGTTATTCAATCGGTTATTAAACACCATAGTTGAACTTTGCAGCAGAAACAGGCAAAAAAATATATATAAGGTTAAAAATGTGGTATCCTACTATGATTTATTGAGCAGAAATGTATTATGTAGGATTGTAGCTGATCAAAAAATAACTGGTTATTCAGTAGAAATGTGACCATAGTGAATTGTGAGCTCTGAACTCTGTCCAGACTATCAAATTTTATTTGACAAAAACATGTGACATGCCTAAATATGGTCATGATGACATCACACCATGACCTTATATAGGCACATCATGACTATATATGGGCATACAACAGTTTTTTGTCAAAGAAAATTTGATAGTCTAGACAGAGCTTAAAGTAATATTTGATTATGGGATCATTATTTGGGTTATGATTTAATGAATTATTTATTCTCTTCAAGCTACAAGCGTATTCTTATCAATGAAAGCTGCTCTCTGTGAAACCAAAATGACCGGCAACTGCATGCAGTTTCACACAGCGACTGCCCAGCTTCTTGTTCAGTTTGCTGTGACAGACGATCTCTCCAAGCATGTTGCACCATCCTTGCCTGTACGCGAGGATATTCCAGCCATCTTGGCTTGCGTTCCAGCATTTGTTGTTGACAACTTAGTAGATTTTATGCTCTTTGTACGTCGCTTTCAGGAACAAAAATTTGAAGAAATCGCTGAAAATTTGGATAGTGTACTGAGCTTTATTATCCTGTTTATGGGTAATAAGAAAAGAATCAATAACTACCACTTGAGGGCCAAACTTGCCGATATCTTGGATGGCCTTCGGCCTAACTTTGATACTAGGATAAGGTCCAACATAGTGCCAACGTAAGTACTTACCAATTACAATACCTTTTTTTTATTTATTTTTTTTTTTAACTGTTATACTCAAAAGTGAATGATATGTTGCCAATCTCTGGATAGAATAAACCAAGCATTGCTCCGTGCCTAACTGCGCCATCTTTGAACAAAGATATTTTAAATTTGACTAGGCATTTGACTAGTTAACTGTACTTCAATAGAAGTGATGTTTTGTTCTACCTGTTTTTTTATCATACTGAATACACTGTACTTCTCTATATCATTAGAATCCTCCTTTGGACACCCCTAGCGGACACTTTTCTGTGAAACAATGGGCAGTATATCTTTTAAGACTACAGCCAACCCCTATTAAGGGGACACCCCAGTAAGGGGACAGGGACACTTTCTCTGTGCAAAATGGTCAAATCAATACAATTTAACCCTATTAAAGGAACATTATTTTTTTTTTATCATATCAAAACAACTACAGTAGTCTCAAAATAAGAAAAAATCTTTCAAATTTATATTTTGATTTGGGATGGACATGTATTTCTATGCCAAAAAAATCTTGAGATCTGACCAAACTATCACATTTTTTTTGTCAAAAAGCTGTTGTATTCCCATATATTGTCATGATGTGCCTATATATGGTAATGATGTGCCTATATATGGTAATGGTGTGCCTATATATGGTAATGGTGTGCCTATATATGGTAATGGTGTGCCTATATATGGTAATGGTGTGCCTATATATGGTAATGATGTGTCTGTATATGGTAATGATGTGCCTAAAAATGGTAATGGTGTGCCTGTATATGGTCATGATGTGATGTCATGTTTTTGTCAAATAAAATTTGGTAGTCTGAATAGGGCCTTTTGTTATTTTATGTTTGTAGTTATCACAGACAGCGGATATTCAATGAACACCCTCTGAGGATGTTGCTATCCAGATCACTCCTCTCGATCTTTAACGACATAGAGTTCTCTGGAGACGAGCATGCATTTGAACAGAAGTTCAACTACCGGATGCCAATGTACAGAATTTTACACTATCTCTGGTCTCTAGAAGAACAGTGCAAGTGGATCAAGGTCAGGGGTTATCCCTTTGAATATTCATGACTTTATATAATTATAGATAATAAATATAATTATTAATTTTTATATAGCCTGAATTACAATTAAGTCTCTCAGCACTTTAGCTCTTCTTAATAAAAAAGTGACTTATCAGATGTGATTTAAAGCGTTCACATTTTAACATATTATGTTTCACGACCATACTCTGAGTAGGCAAATTTCATAGAAGCATGTACAAAATTCAAATAAATGCTACATTTAGAAAATATTCTAAGACAAAAATAGACAAACAATTGTTAAGCTTGGAGAACCGAACTTCAAAGACAGCATGTGATCCTTCCACAGTTAACTTGAAGGCCATAACTATGTATTAAATGTAGAGTATTTGGAAGATAATCTTAGATGCTCTTTTAATTGCATTTCAGGACCTGTCTGAAGAAGCTATGTTGACAATTGAAGATCCTGTTCCACCGCTGTTCGTCCAGTTTATCAACCTGCTGATTAATGATGCAATCTTCACCCTTGACGAAGCTATGGACGTAAGCAACAATATTAATTATATTATATTTTTGTGATATATATGTAAATAATATAGTGCCAAACACCTGTATAATTGTAGTTGCATAGTGTTTTTGATATGTTGAGCTACTGGTTGATACAATGTGAGTTGCATGGAAAAAGCAGTTTAGCTCAGTCGGCTAAACTGTGGAGGTTTTTTTTTAATTTTATTAATTACTTAACAATTAATTATTAATTTTGTTATTTTTTTTATTTATTTTTATATTTTTTTCTTTTTTCGTGGTTTTGTAATTTTATGTTGTGCTTGGTCTTCTTGCTGCTTTAAGTTTAATCTTTGAAATTGTGTGTATAATTGTACTTTATTTTGTATTTCTTTTTTAATTAATTATCGTAACTCTTAATTGTATATTCTCAGTGTTTATAAAAATGTTTAATGTTTCCATTATTTTGAATAAATTGAATAACAATTTTGAATAATTGAATAGTTTCTTGTATTTGAATAATTTGCTTATAATGTATGTAATTGTACGTTCTTATATATTACTTTCTTTTAATTAATTTTAACTGTACCATATAAATTCTCAATGTTTTTTTGAAAATTGTAATGTTAAATAAATAATAAATAATAGCTTGTACAGATTATAATTTTGTATATTATATTATACCCTGTTCTGTGTCCCAGGGGCTGCGGGCACCGCTTGTGGTGTTATGCGCTCTTTTGCTGACGCAAGCCCCTGGGCCGTTTGTGCCAATAAGATAAATTTCTTCGCTTGTCTTCATGACTGTGTTCGGCTAAAGTGCTGAAATACAAGTCACAATTGCACATTGGCTTTCGGAAGAGGTACATTAAGATGCCCTGTGTGCATGTTAGAGTGTGCAGTATACTTTTTCGGAAAAGAGCTGGCGGTTGCTTCCCGGTGGACTGAATGGCTTTAACTTCTCTCTTTTGAAAGACAGCACTACTTCTGTTTAAATATTCTTTCAGTGTTTTTGTAAAAAACCTTTTAAAGGTTAATTAATATTGCTATTGATTTTGTTTTTATGCCTGATAGTATCTGAAGAAGATTAGAGAGTTGGAGATGAAAAAAGAAAGCGCGGAATGGGAGGAGATGCCAGCTTTTGAGCGAATACAGCATGAAAACAATCTGAGAACACAGGGCAGCATTGCAAGATTCTTTAACACAATGGCAAACGAGTCCATTAAGGTTCTCAGCCACATCTCAACTGGTATGTTCATAGACAGATTCAAGGGAGCCTATCCGGAAAGCCACCCCATCCCCCGAAGAAAAAAATTAAAACTGCATTCAAAGTTTAGTCCCATTTTCAGCCATCTGGATGTGTCATAATCATAAAATTTCACACTTTAGCCCCAACTATATTGGGGCTGATGTGGGCTAGATTGTTCATCTATCAAAATACATCTATGATCCTCCTCTATTTCAAATTCCTGGATCTGCCACTGATATTTAATACTTTGTATTCTGTGTAACAAACTTTATATTTTTAAAAATTAGTCAGAAAGGGGGAAAATCAATAAAACAAATTTCTTTTGTTTTTTAGCATTATGGTTCTGTCAAAAATTTTTAAATAAATTAGAAATTATAAATATTTTTTAATGAAGTAAATTTAACTGTCTGTCAAGTGAAAAAAAATCAGTAAAGGAGATTCTAGGAACCCCCGTATCTCAGGTGGTCCATTTTTGCACCCCTTTCATTCCCCTTCCCTATTGGTAATCTGGGGTGGATTTAGGAAGGTGAGATGTGCCCCCCCCCCTCTCTGGAAAGTAAAAAAAAAAAGAATTTATTGAACACCCAAATGCCTCAGAGGTTATTTCTGGGTGTATAGAAATTAAAATTTTGAGGCAAATTCCCCAGACCCCCTAGGGTAGTGTTCTCTCTCTTCCTAAGTAAATCTTCTTTCATCATTTCACTCCAGATATCAAAGATGTGTTCACACATCCTTCAATGGTGGACCGTGTGGCAGCTATGTTTAATGACTTTCTCGTTAAATTAGTCGGGCGAAAGATGGGCCTGTTGAAAGTCAGCAATTTTGAAGAATATGAGTTCAACCCAAAGCAGCTGGTGAAAGACATATCACAGATTTATGTCAACCTCGGCGACAGAGACGAGTTTTGTGAAGCAGTTGCCCGTGACGAGCGATCGTACACACCTGGTCTGTTCATTCAGGTAGAAAGGGTGTTGTTGAAAATCTTTGCACCGTCGTCTGTGATTGAGGAGATCAAAGTAGTTGCTACTAAGGTCAAGGTATTTATTTTTTTCTTTTTCTTTAAACTGCAGGCACTTACAGGACTTTCAAAGTAGTACAATTACAAAACAAACCATAAAAATAGAAAGAAACAACATACAAAACAAAGTTAAAAGAAAATTCAATGTAAAACTTATAAACAGCGATTTCAATTGTTTTTCTTATGCTCTTTCATTAAATGCTATCAAAGGGCATAGAATTGCAAGAGGTCTCACTCTCGGGGTTTGTTGGAACGTAGTCCTATTTCAAGAAGTACTACCACAAACTAGAGGGCGTCCTTCAAAAAGCAAATTTCTGACTCTTTTCAAATTCTAATAGGGCGCCCCCTATATCGTGGTAGTACTTTTTTTAACGTTTGATTACGTGCATACAAAATCAAGGTGGGTTGGACCTCTTGCAATTGTATATACTTTTTGGTTCTATCTACAGAAGTTTATTATTTGTGGTTCCCCCCCCCCCTCAATTAACTCTATTACATAGGAGGTCAGTATTATCAAGTTTGTATTGTTTGTTATCAGGCATCTTTATTGTTTTAATATACGCAAATTAACTGAGCCGACATCTGCATTATTGAAACTCATTTATATAAATTTACATACAGTACTCTAGACACACCTGATAATTCTCGCCATCTGGCATTGAGTCATCAAATTAATTTGATGACTCAATTCACCTGATGAAGCCCCATTGACTGGGGCAAAATCTTGTGAAATAAAATTCATCGTTAGTCAAATAAGTGCTACAGTACCTACTCATTTGTTTCAAATTAATTGAATTTCATCAATTCGTATTTGATTTATATTTTTTTGCTACTACAATTTCTTCCATCTCTCTTATCTTGTTATGTACTGATTTATTATCTTTGTTACTATTACCCCTCCTATAATAGAAATGACTGCTAATTTTGTACCCCTTTTTGTTTTAATAATTTCAATTTACCTTGTTAAAATAAGAAATACTAATACTGTGGGCCTATAGGTGGTATCAACAATATTCTTTATTTTTTTAATTCAGTAAAATGAGAATCACAAAAATATTGATTTGTTGACATGTCATCTCTTGTAATACAGGAATCTCTAACATACATACATGAGAACGCCACCTCATTTATATGAGCAAGGTTTGAAAGTAATAGAATAATTAGGAAGGTTGATTAGTGGGCTTTCTGATTGTAGCTATGTTTCTGATACAGTTATTTGAGTTTTCAGTATTTCAACATTTCTTGCCTTTTTATGATTTTGGGCTTAATTTTTACATCTTAATTTTTATTGTTTGATTAAATTAGGAAGAAATAAATGATTTGATTTGGATTAATAGAATTTTGAAATGAAACTAATGTTTTTGTTTTATTTGGAATTTCATTCCAACTTTTAGATGCACAATATAAAATGTTCTTTTACCTTGAGAAATATTCCAAGGTAGCCAGTATGAGTTTGGCTATGTGTGCCTTTTCAGTGGTTATTGTGATTAAAAATATATTTGGTTGATAATTAAGGAGAGTATGTTCTGTATACCACTTAATTTTGTACAATTTTAAAATTCAGGGATTATCATGGCATATATTTTTTATGATCATGATGATTGAATTTAGTATGTGTTTTATAGAATAGAATAGAACATTTATATAGCGCCAATATCAGCCATATGTGTCACTCATGGTGCTTAACGACCTAAGGCTTGATTTGGATGTAGCTATGTTTCTGATACAGTTATTTGAGTTTTCAGTATTTCAACATTTCTTGCCTTTTTATGATTTTGGGCTTAATTTTTACATCTTAATTTTTATTGTTTGATTAAATTAGGAAGAAATAAATGATTTGATTTGGATTAATAGAATTTTGAAATGAAACTAATGTTTTTGTTTTATTTGGAATTTCATTCCAACTTTTAGATGCACAATATAAAATGTTCTTTTACCTTGAGAAATATTCCAAGGTAGCCAGTATGAGTTTGGCTATGTGTGCCTTTTCAGTGGTTATTGTGATTAAAAATATATTTGGTTGATAATTAAGGAGAGTATGTTCTGTATACCACTTAATTTTGTACAATTTTAAAATTCAGGGATTATCATGGCATATATTTTTTATGATCATGATGATTGAATTTAGTATGTGTTTTATAGAATAGAATAGAACATTTATATAGCGCCAATATCAGCCATATGTGTCACTCATGGTGCTTAACGACCTAAGGCTTAATTTGGATGGTGCATTCCATGGACCTATTACTATATATTTTTTTTTAATGAATTTACATTATGCTTTCAGAGTATGTCTATGATGAAGGAGACAGAGGAAGAATTGTTTGCTGATGCCCCTGATGAATTCCTTGATCCTTTGCTCTCCATACTTATGTCAGATCCTGTCTTCTTACCGACATCTAATCAGACAGTAGAGAGGAGCACCATCCAACGACACATTATGAGGTTAGTCTTTAAAATCAAGATAAATTAATTAAGCAATCAATCATTTATTGCAGAAATCTAAATCCATATTGAAAAACCTAAACCCAAAAAGCACAAGTGACCACAAATTCCATGTCATCCAGTGGCATATTTAGGGGGGTGCACACCTCCATAAAATACTTGCATCTCCCAGTCGCTTCCCCTCCCCCTCCCACTGCATTGAAAATGTTTGAAGCAAAAAAATAATGCTCAAGTAGTTAAACATCACCTCAAATCACCTTATTTTGCGAGCTAGCTCCTCTCACATCCCCCACTTCACCTTTGCACCACCAACATTCCCCATTTCAGGACTCATAGATGTACCACTGGCATCATCATCCTCTATCATCTTTATCCTTAATATTTAGTTTATTTAATGCATCGTGCTAAAATTTCTTAAGACTACTGAACATTTTAAAAAGCTCAGAATATTTTACAAGGGCAAATACAGTTAACAAAAGGAAGATGGAAAAATTAATCAAATATAAAAAGTGTCTTTAGGATTAACTTCTTTTGTTTTTGTTTTTCCTCTCTTCTATACAGTGATCCTCATGATCCTTTTAATCGAAAAGACCTTACTATGGATATGGTGGTGCCGAACGATGAACTTAGGAAACGTATAGAAGAGTGGAAAAAAGAGAAACTCAAGAATTCCTGATGATACAGCATACAATTTTATTAGTTTCATAATTCATACATTTATGTCTCTCAAAACTCAAACGTAAGTGTCTGGTAGTCAAAAAGGGAACATGTTCCTGTACAAGATGGCTACCAGAGGATCCATTAATCCAATATTTCTGGCTAATACATGTCTCATTTTTTAGTTACTCAAAATCACCTTGAGGCAGTTTTCATTGTGGAAGGCACTATAAAACTGCATCACCATTGACTATTGTCTGCAGCAGAGTTTCGAAAAGTCCAAGTTTAGAAAAACCACATCCCAGATACTGTGCTTCACCTTTATTTTTCTTCACATGATTACCGAAACCTGTGCCTCATACACCACACTGATCAACCCTGAATTTTATACTTGCATTGACAAGGTTTGAACCTCCTACATACGTCGGGGTGAAGGGGCGAAAGTGGCTTAATCTCTCACTAGAGCAGTGAGGTTCTCTCACTGACCACCTATCGCCAGACTATAAAAAATATTTCAAGGTTCCAGAGCCTTGTGTTCGGCATTTCAATCCATCACTGTGCATTTCCTTGTATCCTTGAGCGAGACACCCGGTCCCCCCCGAATCGGCCCCTGCAAATTAATTGCTCTAGAGTCTTAAGGTGTGGAATTTATGTGGAGCGTAATTATAAGTTATTTATGCACTTATTGAAAATGCCCAATCAGCAAACAGAGTTTTAAAGCATTTGTTTGACAAGTGTTCGAGAGTGTGGTGATCAGGGTTTCCTGAAGCCCGGTCCAGACTATCAAATATTATTTGAATAAAAAATCTGTTGTATGCCCATATATAGTCATGATGTGCCTATATATGGTCATGATGTGATGTCATCATGACCATATTTAGGCATGTGACATGTTTTTGTCTTTAAAATACTTGTTTATCAAAGATGTACAGTGACTATCTGTCATGCAAAGACACTTTTGACGAATGCACAACAAGGACATACTGATATAAAAGTGCAATAGTGCGTGTAGGTTCTAGAGGGCGTAGTTTAGGATGGGGTTAAAGAAGATATAGTACTAATCATGATATTTGAAAGTATTGGACACAATTTCTCTAAAATAAAAATTAAATTATGTCTTTTTTTTTTTAATACATTACAATTTAAATATGACTACATTTGAGACAAATATAAGGCAGACACCTCAAAACCTGATAAGAAATGGCCAAACCTCTTAAAAGTATTGTCCTTCATTATCATTCTCAATACTGCATACCTATACAATGTTAAATGAAAGACGGAGTGGTTCTTGAACAGGTATGCATTTAAAGATAAACTATATATAAAAATCAATATCATTTTTAACGATTTTTAGATGATACTGTAGTTTGTAACTAACCCTCCAACTTGTAGCATTTTAGAATTCTTTAGCTCTGTAATCTCAAATAATACGGTGTTGTATGTAAAAGTTAAAAGATAAACTATATATATATAACTCAATATAATTTTTAATAATTTTTAGATGATAGTTTGTAACTAACTGTCCAACTTGTAGAATTTTAGCATTCTTAAGCTCTCTGTATTCTCAAATAATATGGTGTTATGTGTAGAAGTTAGTTAGCACAGGTAGTTCCTACTTCAATAGTATAATATCTCAGCTACAAATGCTATGTTTCTGCATAGGTGGTATAAAGTTTATGTACAAAAAAGTGTGAAATATAATCTGGGTTTATAGTGTACATTTTTAAGTAACCCATTTTAAGTTTGGTAAAATGGTTACTATGGCTAATAACAAATGGAAAAGTTTATGTAGAAAGTTTATGTAGAAATTTATTATTATAATATATTTATTTACACAGACTAACCATTGAGTGCTTTATTATCTTATATGTTTATGTGCGCATACGAAAACTTGTGTACATCATATTCCTGCATTTTAACTATTGAGGGCGGCTTTTGAATTTGTTACGATCATTATAGCACTGTAAATTCGTTACCATCATTTTTAACCCGAAATCGAATTGCTGTATTTTAGTTGAGTATTGTACTTGAAAATTAAATATGGTAACATTTACCAGTTCGACATATTAGTATCAACCAAACGGTTATCGAATTGCAATTCAAATAAACATTTATTTTCTTCATAAAAAGTAAACAGTAACAGTAGAAACAATTGGATGGTAATTAAAGAGGGCACAGCCAAGAAAGCAAATGCTTGTGAGGCAAGCCTGAAAGCAAATAATAATAATTCAATTTCAAAAAGTAATAAAAAGAGTAACAATAGCAATAGTAATTATAATTATTATTATTGTAATCATAATCATAATAATTTTATAATAAAATACGGGAGACAAGAGACAGCGATACAGAAAACAAAAACAAGTGACAGAAATAAAAACGAAACACAAAAAAACATTAGACAACCGATCGTCTATAGACTATTAGTGTATACAAATGGGTATTTGGTTTTTTAATTTTTGCAACTAAAAGTGATACTTAAGATTAAAAGAAAAGCTTTTCTTCGATTGACAGTTTTTGATATGGTCAGGTAAACTATTCCAAAGTTAGGGTCCGCTAAATCTAATACGTTGAAAGAAGTTTTTTTTATGCTGGGGAATATGCAAGCTGAGTGCAGAATCAATGGAGAAGCATAACTGACAACTTAATCTTGGAGCGGGAATGCTAGAACGTAATTTTGTTTATCGTTTTACATTGATGTAAAATTCATGGGAAAATACTAGAAATTCTATTATGCAAATTGATTATTCACAAACTTAATGTAATAAATAAGAAAAAATCAAATATTTAATTTCATTCTAGTTAGAAATATGTAAACTTAAAATTAAGTCATACAATTGCAAATAAATTACCTCGTATCTATCTCATTACGTGTGTCAGTTTATTTAATCCAAAAAAAATGTACTGATTTATTACAGTATATGTTTTACACAGTATATTATATTACCAATGTATTGTGTAAAATTCGATGAGAGTGAATATACAGTATATTACACATACACTTTTTTTATATAAAATCTCAAAATCTAAAAATCTCAAATTCTCATTATTGTAGTCATGAAATATAACAGACGATTAAGTTAACTTGTTAGGCCTACCATTAAGAACAACTATAAGAACACATTTTATAAGAAAATCGAGGCTGAAAATGCAAAAAAATTAAGAACGAATTAAGGCTGAGATAAAATGGCAAATAAGGTTTTTATTTTGTTTAAATAGAAAAACCAACAAATCTTATCGGTACTTTATATGTAATAGATGTGACTATTTAATACTCTCTATAATACAGTAATTAATATACTGCCGTACAATAATAATTTTCTATGTTTGAAAGTGTGTAAAAATATTTTCGGGCTTGAAATCGGCAAAATGATAAGCCTGGGCAAAATTTTACTGGTTCTTATAAAAAAAGAAAGTGCAGTTGTTTCAATGTTTCTCATTACTGTGTATTTTATGTGAGAAGATGGTGTCTTTTTCCTTTCCATCTTTACATCAAATTTTGTTTCTCCCTATATATTACGGTATGCATTTCTTTTCTTTTTTTTCTTTTTTTTGTCTTTTTTTATTTCTTGGCCTATTCTATGTTTTGGGGGTTTTTTTTAGCAAGGGAATTTGAATAAAACTGAGCTTAAAAAGTAATACGGCCTAGGAAGAAAGAAAGAGAAATTCGAATAAAAATAAAGAAGCTTGGGTTTTAATGATTGGACCTCATGTGTCCGATGTTTACTGTAATTTAATCTCAGTCTAATTATAATGTTTTACTGCAGAGAAGGCAGACTTCTCAAGTCTACGGAACTTTCGTAGTTTCTACGGAAATGTTGCCTAATTACGGACGTATGGAAATAAACAAAAATACTACGGAAATTTATCATAGGCCTAGACCCATAAATAAATAGGTCTAGTCCAGAACAAAATACTTGTCTATCAGGATCGTTTGTTACATTGTCCCTAGACACATACTTGTCAGATTACAGATAAATTATTGTGAAAACTAAAGGTGGCCGTAAATTTTCATCCTGTCCCTTTTGCCTTTTGTTTGAAATTCTACAGTTATTATCCTTTACTGTAATTTAAACCATATTTTACACTCTATACAAATTATTAGGTGCTACTGAAACTTTGTTGATTTTTTTAAGACTAGGTTAGGCCTACTCTGAAATGCATTTTACGAACTTGAGAAGTCCGAGATGGGCTAAATTAAAATTGTTTGTTCGTGTATCATGACAAGATTTGTGCGGTCAACATTCCTATCATAGATCAAAGCAATGAGTGAAGAGTCTCTTAATAACTCGTTAAAGTTTGTTCTATCAGCGGAATATTAAAAAGTTTGTAACTTATGAAAATAGTTATGATTAATTTTCTTTTCAGTTCACGGCGATGCCTTTGCACTTTCGCCAATCAAAACACGTGCAATGCCTCAGGTATTTTCTTAAGACCCAAGACACGACGAAATAGTGCAGTTGCCTCCGCGTGGTTCTACTCTTCGAATAGCACTTTTAAGTTTGCAGTTTTCTCACAAAACAATAGCTAGGTGGTAGGCCCAGGCGTTACCTGAAATATCAGCCGACCCGACGGCGGTAGATCTTTGAGGCTTCGCAGTGCGATCGTGGCGGGTGGGCCTGTAGCAATTACAATCATTGAAGATAAATATTATTTCAAATACATATTTTGAGATAATTACTGTATAGCCGATAATTCGATAAGCACATAATTTGGTTGTAGTGTCGAGTCACATACGAACAAGGAGCGATGATGCTGAGTTTCTGTTATGTTTTCTCTATCAATGATCGCGAGTGAATGCCAGGTGTCCGTTGAATTTACTCGGTCAAAATCCTTCTGTGAAGTCAACTTAAGAAAAGATTCTAAAGTAACCAAACATACCTAACAGTATTAGAAGTGCTACACCATTGCTCTGGCGTAATTAACTGCCTCCCATTGACAAAGGCTAAAGTTTCCAATCTCAGAGTAACTCAATGATATCATAGAAATGAACTTGACAGCTCCAGGGCCAATCCGATTTGTCAAAAGCCACGTGATCAATACCAAGCAATCGGAAGTGCGTATTAAGTACTTGGGAGTCGCATCGATATTTGTTATTCTTATAGATGGGGTCTATTATCTATTAAATGAAGCAAACGATTTGATTACAGTGATTGGTTCAATTATGTGAAGGCATGGACACTGCCTTTCTCAATTTCACAGCAAATAATAAAAATATGCTTAATCGAAGGGTTGAAATTATAGCAAATATCAGTGATTAGTGAAGAATCATTATTTTTAACACCGTGTTTTTAGTCTAATATACATTAAATTAAACCGTCTGTTTAAAAATCTAAAACCTATAAAATTGCAATTAGACTTAGAAGATTAAATATTTAAATTGTACTGGTTCTTATAAAAAAAAAGTGTATTACTTTCTTGTCCGTACATAATAAATGCATCAGTTTACATTTCCAATTTGTACATACACAAACATACATTATGTGAAGTATAAACATACATGGTTTTTGATGACTTACATGTAAACAGTGCAACGAACTTATGGTTTAATAGTTGAGAAAATGAATTGCCAGGAGCAGTAACTGGGGAATTGTTCCATACTAGTTTTCTATATCGTTTACACGGAAAGAAAACATACAAAGTGCTATAGAACGCCTCTAATCGGGATATAGCAACGATCCCCAGTGCACTGATGTTGATATAACGCCGTAGAATATAGTTTAGTTGTACTTTTGAATTGCTGTATATTAGGACAAAAATTTATTTAAAACTCTGTCGTGTTTGAATCACGGTTCTTCACTATTCCACATTCCTCTTCAAATAGGCATATTTTATAGACCTTGGATTAAATTTCATTTGAAATGTATTTCATTTTTATGTAAGCATTTTGGAGTTTGCTATTTTGATTTCTCTTGACGCCTAACACAGTCTCTCTTTTAACAGTTTATTCATTCATAATTCATTCATAACTCGATAGATTGCAAAAGTTACAGAATGATATAAAAAAAATAAACAACAATAACAACACAGTAGAAATATACTTGTTCGAGATCATGTTACAGTTAAAATTACAAAAAGAAAAACAAGTTCCAAAATGTAAAACAACGTGTAAAATTGTTAAAATTGCTAAGAATACATGAATTTGCATTACTTAAATATAATTCTTAGAATTAGTTAAAATATGTAAGAAAGAATAAGAAATAAAACTATTATTAAAGTTTGGAAAAGTGTAAAATATAACTTTTATAATATTATTTATAAATAATAATATTTTAAATTCAATATTAACTGCACTGTTAGCCCTATCCGTTCATTTGTGTAACTGTTAATGCTTATTAATCTATTAACTAAGGTACATTTACTTACAAAATAAATAGATAACTGTTTAGTTATGATCGTCAACGAAAAGTTCTTTTTTCAGTTGTATGAATAAGATGCTAAACATTTTACCTCTCGTTATCAATCAAGGCTAGCGTCATACTACTAAACCACAGGATGCGATACGATATTGGTGTACATCTAAAACCCAGGTTCGATTAAAAAAAAAATGTTTTTCATAAAAAAAAAAAACTTTTCGTTCATATCATATATGCTATATGATTTTATAACTACATCAAACTTAACTCTCAACGAAAAACATTATGTTCCTACTACTTAATACGCACCGAATATGAATGTATATAGGGCCTACATTTATTTACTACATTTGAAATTTGATATTCCGTGTAAATCTACAAAATCTTAGTGGGCCTACTACTATGTACTGGGATACAATTATCAAGTTCATGTGCATAACATTCCTTACTGTTAACTACATGTTGCCTTGGAATGAAAGACAAACATTTAATGAATCGAATGATAGCCTGAAAACCAGTCCTATTTTGAGAAGTCTGAAAACAATTACCGCCAACCAATTTGTCTCGCTGCGAATGTGACACACTAGCGCCTTATCCTTCAAAATCTAGTATGTCGCTCTGAATTCGGTTTGTCACTGCTAATAATACGGAAACGGCTCCAATTAATGCATAACGACGGTGTAAATAATGTCATATGCGGGCGACGTGACAATCTGCATTGGCCGTGGATGAGTTCGTGGTGGGCTTCTGTCCGCCTTACTGATTGGAGATCTGAAGCACCATAGGAGCTTAACCTAAGGCTTAGACACCTTGGAACACATCCTATTTCTTAGTGTCAAACTTTAAGATTTGCTAAGTTGGTAATTTGTGGCTAAATTGGCTTTAACTACGACATTTGACTCTAAGCTGACTACAGTGTTGACAGTTTCCATATTCGAGTTATTATAGTAACTTTCCCCATACGTCACAAATTTACCAAGAAACAATAAAGTACGGAGTGTTGTTATTGAAGAAATTTATCAAACATAATTCACAAGGAAACACCCGCTATCCAGGAAATAATATATAAATAGAAAAAATTTATTCTGCTTATTTCTGTATAATTCTAATTATAATCAGCAACTTAAAAATAATCGAATTTATAATTTTAATTTATTACATAACATTCAATTTGGATGCGATGTTGGTCAGACTTTTTTTCTAATTGTTTCATGTGCAAATGTAAATTGAATGTTTGAAATAGTACACCTACAAATTCCTGAAACAGTTTTGATTGATTTAATTTGATTTACGGAGGCCTGTCTTTTTTTCCCCTTTTTTTTAAAGTGGAAGACAATATACAATGTACAGTAATTACATATTATTATTAATTACAAAACTTAAAGAAACTTCATAACAATGTAATTACTAAATACAAAATAAAATATTTTATATTCTGTCTAAATGTTTATTTAGCAACCAATTAATAACATTTCTTTATGTTAATACTTGATCATAATTCGAAAATATTTACTAAGATAATTATATTTATATACCGGTATAGACTATTAGGTTTATATTCATTTTTGAACACTGTTTTGTAAATTTCGTTGTTTTCAATAAACAGTTTATTAAAAATGCAATAGTATGATATATAATATAACAGGCATAACAATTATTTAAATCCCGAAATAATTTTAAAAGTGGGCTATATAATTATGATTCTATTTAGGCCTATTATGTTGTCTTATGTTAAAGGGGTTAATTGTCTGATATGAACAATTGAAAACATAATAAAAACATCGAATTTGTAATTTAAACGGATGAAATAAGCTATCAATGACTCAATGATCAAAACTAATGGGCCGATTAACTTTAGAATATTAAATACTGTACTAATATCAATATATTGTTCATCAACCAATACAGTGGTCTTTGCCAAAAAAAGAACACTGCGCCTCTCATGTGAATATTATTTGAATATCAGCCAGCTCATTTTCTGTATAACTGTAACGAAGCGTCTTTAAACAGGGCTTAGCTTAAATTCAATATAAAAACCGGTGATATAAATTATGTTGATTGATTTATTGATTGATTGATTGATTCATTCATTCATTCATTAATAAATTCATTCATTTATATATTTATTTATTTATTTAATGTTCTTGAACATTCTAGATAAATTTATACACAGTGTAATTGTTGGCTTAATACTGCAGTCGGTACATCTTTAGGTAAATGTAAATACAAAATATAAAAAAAACTTATGCTTGCCCGAATATAGGTCTATTTCATTATGCTTATGGAAATATTTAGGTAGTTTTTGAGATAGAAATTTATTGAAAATTATTAGTAGTAGGCCTTATTCGTTAATCAACATCTGCTACTTTCTCATTACAATGTATAATTGTTGAAGGACAAATACTGATATTCACTGGTTTTTTTACCCAATTATTACAGTCTCTGGTTGTGCCATAACCACAAGTCAAAAATCTACTATTGCCAATTCCGATCTGTCCTTACATGATATAATATATACAACTGAGTCACCTATGTACGTGGACTTGGGTTAAAGATTGTATCTTTAAGTGTAATGTATCATATTAGTATTAATGAGCTTGTATTTCATATCTCTCTTCAACATCTTGCTAATGAGGAGCTACTCTGTGCAACAGGACATGGCAGGAGGTGGAGCCTGGCCTCGACCATCTCCGGGGAGAAATGGTTTTTCTCCCGGGTAAGTTGGTCTAATTACTTGCGTTGTTTTCTTAGACTGGTGTAAATTATTCCATTAGTTCAAAAACATGTAGTTTGTACAGGTTATTGTATCACCTCTGTTCAACAAGAACAAAAACATAAAGGCCATATGGATAGGAATGAAGTAGAATGATAACGGCCGATAATAAATTAGACTTAATTAAACATTGAAATCGATAATAAAAGTAAATCAATCAATCAATCAATCATCTAATCAATCATTCGGTTTGTTGTTACTAGATTTCATCCATCTTGGACTATACTCACCGTTTTACTAACATTATTTTATGAAATATATTTTCATTTTCATAAAGTTTCTCGTTATACACCTTCTCGAAAACTGGTATAATATATATTTAGATATCACAACTTTTACAAAAATAATTGATACATCATCATCATCATCATAAAATTCTTTAAGTTCTTAAAATGTCATTAGGTGTTAATTTTGTTTATTTCATTTGTGTATTTTTTTTTTATCTGGTCTTGGTTAACTTCTTGCTTTTATGTTTCCCTAACCAGGGATCCTCATCATCATTATCACCATCATTATCATCACCCTCTAGTTTTTCGATTTAGGGTCTACTGTAGGAGATCTTTTACTTGTGTCTGTTTTCTCCATTTTTGTCAATAATATTTCATTCAGATCTTAATAATTAAGTTTGATTAGGAAGAGTTTATTCCTGCTTAATTAATGTATCCATTTTTCATATCTTACAATTATTCATTATTATCGACTTTTAACTTGTATACCGGTATATATTTACCGTCTCATTATTTTAACAAGCCTTTTATGATTTTACGACGGGGTCCCATTATGTCGAGTACCTGTTCTTTGGTTAAAGGTCTCTACGAAATGATTTAATGAATATAGATAAGTCCTTTTTCTCCTCCACCGCTCAGCATCATGTTTGGACCTGACTATTACAAATACACGTTTCACTGGATAGCTCTTCTTTCCTATCACAGACCTTTCCAAGGTTTATACATTTGTATATTAATAGCTTTAATATTATTATCCTCATCATCATCGTCGTTGTAGTCGTCTTCATGATACTATTTTTCATTGTCATTGTACCTGTCGTTGTCATTGACAATATCATCATCCTCATCATCATCATTTTTATCATCACCATTGTCATCATCATCATCATTATTTTCATATATATATATATATATATATATGGTCTATACCCTAGCTGCACTGTCTGCAGATATTGGGATTCCTTCCAGTAGATGCTTAGTTTATTTTGTCATTCTGATCGGATTTTCTCTACTGTTCCGTTTTAATTTTAAATAGTTTTGCATTATGTGGCCGTTTGCT